ACCACGAAGGGAAGCCGCACAGGATGGGAACCACGAAGGGAAGTCACACAGGATGGGAACCACGAAGGGAAGCCGCACAGGATGGGGACCATGAAGGGAAGCCGCACAGGATGGGAACCACGAAGGGAAGCCGCACAGGATGGAGGCATGAAGGGAAGCCACACAGGACAGAGGTATAAAGGGAAGCAATACAGGACAGTTTCTCTCAAATGGTGTTATGGGAAACTTCAGGTAGAGCAAATAAACTCAGAGTAGGAGAAGAAGGAAAAAGTGCACACGTGAGCTGACGATTGAAGCTGGATCTTATATAATGAGTAAATCATTAGGCAAGGAGAGTGGCATTGGGAAAGGCCATCCATTCCTTCTTGGCTATAGCAGATATGCCATGAACAAGAGGTAAGGGAAGAGTGCTGACTGGTGCAGAGGGTGAGACGCGGCAGGTAGCACAGCATCTGGACTCCAGTGAGCTGAGTCACCAGCGCGGGGTGAAGCAGAGAGGATGGAGAGTTGACAGCAGCTCTGATGAGACAAAGAGAAGTGGCTCTGGGTGGGAGCGTGGCAATGCAGAACGGAGTGGAGCTCAGTGTGGGAAAATCTGCATCCATTAGGGATGGAGGACAGCAAGTTGTACTCTTAGGAACCCTGTTCGGTGTAACTACTTAGCCTTCAATCAGCTCTGTGTGTGCAGCAGCACTTTGTCCTTTAGGTACTTTCTCCTCATTTTTATTGCATAAACAGCACTGGGGAGAAATCTGTTAATGAACTGAACAAAACAAAGTATTAGAAAATTGGTAACTTTATACCAAAATCAGGTTTCTGTCTCCCTTTTTATGGCTGGTGGTTAAAAGGATTTAAGTAACAAAGTATTTACTTTTATCGGCTACTGTATTCAATTACGTTCAGAGAACAGATCAGTATGTGTGGGTCTCTATCAGCTCATAGTCAAATCAATAGGTAAAAAGTCTCGAGATGAGGTCCACTTTCAGACATGAGGCAATGTGAAGGAGTATGGTGGGAAATGCGATGTGCCCATGAGAGAAGCCAGGAACCAGTCTTTAAAAAAAGCATGTGGCACCAAAGTTCAAATAAAATCCACATTAAAATGTCAAGTGACTTTAAACAGCCTTGAGGAGAAAGCTCAAGGCAATTTGTTCCTTTCTAAATGTTAAGAAAATAAAACCACCAGAGAGCTCCAGTAGAATTCTGATAAGTAAGTTGATACATTTAACTTTCATGTATACCCCAGGAATTAATATTGCATAAGATAGCAGAAATCATTAATTTATTAAATTCATCAAATCAGAAAAAACAGTGTAAGCTCTGTGCTTATGTAGTTTCATTAGCCAAAGCTATCTTTACCTTACCAGAGTGCCCAGAATAGGGAAAATCTACTTTACCAGTGTATCCGTTACTTTTCTCTCATAGCTGAGACAAAATACTTGACAACCACAATTAAGGAAGGAAAGGTTTATTTAGTTTGTGGTTTGTGGAAGTTTCAGTCCATACTCAGCTGGCTCCAAGGTAGAGTGGCACATGGCAGAGGGCAACAGTTCACAGCAGAGGAAGCCAGCAAAGCAACAAGAGCAAAAGGGAGGAGTGGTAGCAAACAGCCCCTTTCCCTCCCTTACATTGTATGCGAACTCTTCACCCCAGGGCAGGTGCAGCACTCACACCGATCATCCCAGCACTGGACCATGAATCAATAATAAACTATAAGTCTGCCCCATGACCACATGAGGCTTTGGGGGGACATCCAGACACAAACCATAACAGCAAGGTCACAGGTAGGGTTGTAAGAAACTTTAGAGGAAAATATTAACCCAACATACTTCCCATAAAATATCTGATAAATCAAACAACTGAAAAGCTAAATAAAGTAAGGAGTGGGGATGCACGAAAGTAGATCAAATTCTCTTTACAGCCCTTTTAAAAGGGGTACAAAATTACTTTAGCACCTACTGCAGCAATTCTCAGCATCTGGTATGTGACACTTAGATAATAAAAATGGTCTTTTTGATTTTTGAGACTTATCAGGTATCAATCCACACTTGATAAATTCCCACACAAACCACCTTCTCGCTTTAGTCTTAGATGAACTAACTACAGAACCAACTCCCCACCCCGCTGGGCTGACTACCCAGTTACTTGCACACCAGGGCACACGGATGGCGTTCTCCCTT